TAGTAGTAGTAGTAGTAGTAGTAGTAGTAGTAGTAGTAGTAGTAGTAGTAGTAGTAGTAGTAGTAAGGGAGGCAGCTGTCGAAACTTTTTTCAATCATCAGATAAGGCTTTCGCCCCGCTCAAGGTTGCGGTTCGGATTCTCTGCAGATATTGGCGTGATCATTTTGCAGAAGGGCGTAACTGGAAAATTAGCTCTGTCATTTACTAATAGAACAGCATTCTTTTCTGAAAGTTAGTGGCTGCATGACTGGAATTCGTGCGTGTGTGTTTATAGACTTCGAATTTCGGAATTATACAAAGGAAACTGAGACGCTGTGAATAAAGTCCCTGTAGCGAGCCATCGATAACTAAAATCAAATATTCGGCTGCCCTTTAAATTGATCTTTTTTTTTATTTCATGGGTTTGCTGTCAAAATTCACTCTGTTCTACAGCAGCATTTCGCTAGCAAGGCTGTCGATAGTTTCACCTTCCAAAATTGTTCCGAAACTAGTTGTTAATGATTTTGACTACCTGTTATGAGCTAGAACCAATTTTCCATTAAAATGGATCCCTGCCAAATGAGCTATAGCTAAAATCAAGAAAATCAAACCTAAAAATTTTAGGTTAGACTACGGTCGCGAGATTATTGACTTCATAGCGATACTTTTTACATTTCCTTGAAAAACTTGTGTATAATTTTGTTTAGCACGAGCTGCTCCGAACGACTGTTTTAAAGTAGGGTAGGCTTGTTTATGTTTGAATGTTTGTCCAGTTTCGATCGCTCGTGGCCTTGAATATTCCAGTGCTGGACGAAGAAGTCCAGACTTGAAGATGACTGGTCTGACTGGGAATTGCTCTTCCACAAAACACCCTGCGCAGACAAACATAGCTGACCGTACGCTAGGCGGCAGGACCATTTCTTCTCTTTCTTGCCAATTATGTGTTTCTAATGACTGAAATTTAATAAAATGAAATTTAACCGAACCCAGTCAATTAGAAGCAATTTTTAATAAATAGAAGAGATGCCAAATTGTCCCGTGAGGCAGTAGAATGTGTCGAAAACGTTAAATGTAGACTCTCCAATTGGCAGAAGCAAAGCATTCATCAGGAACGCTAGAAACGCGCAATCCCCTACCCACATCTTTACTTATTTGGGAAATATCACCTAGTGCAAAATTCCACTGAAACGATAATATACAGGACGCAGTAGTTGTCAAGAAGCGAAAAAATGTTTTTTATGCATTTTTGCATATTGAAATTGAAAAAACGCATATTAGGAAAAGGGTATGTGTGTGTTCGCACTTTTTATCAGCTACTTTTAACTCAAGAACCAGAAAAGCTAGAAGGCTACTTTGGGAGTATGTGTCCATACCATCCGTGACCCTCCCGTTTTAATATCATCCCCCGCCGATGCCTGGGTGTCTCGCACGGACGCTTTAAAAAAATGTGCAAATTTTTTGGCGAGAAAGCGATCTCGGGAACCAGACAAGATAAGCGGCTGAGACTCTGTAAGGACATTCCCTGCGCATGTGTTAGCTAAAGATTTCATATTCAGCTTCCACGCATGCGTGGTATTCACGTAAGAGTGTATGGAGGTTTTGCGGGAGAATTGTTAACTCGGCAACTAGAAGTGTTGGAATGCTGAAATTTAAAGAGAATGTTCCCTATCCAAGTATAAGTTAGGTATTTCGAATTCAGCCTTGTGGTATGCGTGGTTCTTACGTACGGGCATTTAAAAATTTTGGAGAAAAAATTTCTGACTGAACAACTAGGTTACTTTTAAAAGATGATCCTTAAATGGAAATTGTACATTTACTTAATGCAAAATTTATGGTGATTTATACTAGTGACCACAAAAGGTAGGTGTAAAGCAACAATGCATTTAATGACCAGAGTACTTCAAGTCCGATGCAGAAACAAATGATCGCACGGGCTCGCCCGGTGCGTTCCAGCCTGGGTTTCTTTTCAGAAAGAAATGGATTTGTTTGCTGTTTGGATTTGTTTGCTTATCACTGTTTTCTTTTTCAATTATTTACATATCAGTTCTCGATTGTGCAGCTAATTTCAGAAATGAGTATTGCTGATGCTAACGCCCATTTGGGGCAGTTGCTGGCCTTTAAGGTCAGCAATTACCAACGCTCATCCAAAATATTTTTACTCTACTGACCGCCAATAATTTTATTACAGCCGATAATTTGTTCAAAAGGAAGAATGAAATTGAAAGAATTCTTATCGTAAGAGATACTGTGGAAGTCCGGCCGTGCTGAAAAAAGTATTTTTAAAAAAAGAAGTTGCAAAGTTTCACGTGGTAAGTTTGATTAATCTTCTAACATCCATTATTTTTTCACAACAGTAGTGTACTAGTAGTATATCGAGTTTTTTCTGTGAATTGCTTTTCAAACTTTTCAGCCCAAATATGGCTGAGATGGTGCCTACTTCATGAGGGACTTAGGGCTTTTAATACTCCCTCTAAATTTTATCTCTAGACTGATATGAAATAAATCATAGCTATGAAATAAATGGACGCCAGACAAAATGCCAAATGCAGCTAAGAAATTCTGGTTATTTTGACTTTCTAGCAGAATAAATTCAAGTTTTCTCACAAAAATTGCATCTGAAAAGACAGAAATCATGAGTATTAGAGTTACAAGGATTCACTGACATATTCACAATAGGTACATTGACAAACCGATTTTCTCAAGCAAAGCTCAGTAGTCTGATTTGTGAGTATGGCTGAAGACTGCAGTACTGTTGGAAATACAAAACGGATAAAGTAGAGAAAGAACAAAACAAGCTTTGAGGGGATTTTGTCGAGCGACTTCATTTCCACGAATGTCGTGCAAATTACAGATGTTTACTAATCTTGTCATGAAAATCTCTTTCCTTGAGCATTCATTTTTGTATTTTATGCTCCTCTCTGCACCACTATTCGCCTCTTCCCTACAAAAATATGCAACGATTAATAACATTTTAAGCTAACCCAACCCTAATCTATCGTATTGCTGCTTCTTTCCTTGTTTCCCAACTTTGCTAGTTTGAAACAAGCGATTCTCACGCAAAGGGCCGTTTGTTTAGAAGCATCTGCAGTGCAGCCAAAATGCGCAGCAAAATTCGTGATAGAGCTGGACTTGCGTGGAGCGTACGCAGCGACAGTCAAGCGTATGTGGAAATACTTGCGGGAGGATACAGCTTGGATAAGAGAAGTTGTGAAGGTTTGTTTGGTCCGTTCAGACCAGCTTTGCGTGTTCATTTCCTCACCTTTTTGAAATTTTTGTTTCTCTTGCAGCACGATTCGTTTTTGGCGAGTTGTTAAAATCTAAATATCGGTTTTCGCACCCTGAGTTCATTCTCAGCCACTATTATCGACTCTGTGGGGCTATCTGATAAGCATGTACATGGTCAAGTTTCAACGGCTTATTGCATGCTTCGTGTGGCAGCCATACAACCTACTTTTGAAACACTGTTATAAAATTCAGTACGGAACCCCACGTCAAACTGTAAAATCCATCCTCGCACGGCATAAAACTTGTTTATAAAAACCTCTCATATCTACTGCGCTTAGTGAAAATTAACTTATTCGCCAGTCACTTCTAATTTGAACAAAAGATGACCGAAAGTTGAGCAAATTAGTGCTACGAGAGTTTCGCAGATTACTGTGTTTCAGTGCTACGAAAACTACTGTAAATTAGTGTTACTTGATCCCAACTGCTTTTTAAAGGACTTGTCCTTAACCATTGTTACCCCACCTTCAAGGTCACAGCAAGAAGGCGAGCTGAAAAATATGGCGGAGCGAGTTTCCAAGTCATAATAGTTCAAGAGTCTGGAACCGCTAACTCGCCTGCATCCCAATTCTTTCTTCATACGTCAGTTTTCATTACATATATTCTATCTATCCAGTTTAACCAACTGTACTTGTTCACACAAAAGAAATGATTCTTGAGGAACAAAATGTACAAATTTAGAATATGTTTATTCATTTGGACTTCGACCATTCGAAGCCACGATCTGAGATCCAGCGAGATTAGCATGCTGTTGTGAAGTTTATGATAGCTGGAAAACGTAATCCTAGTTTTCTAGTTTACACGGTCGTAGTGTTCAAAATACACGGCAAGCACACGCACATAAGCAAAGGCAACTCCTCGGCAGTATGCATTTTCGCATTGCATGGGTGCAAAAACGCACGTGTTCACCAAAGTGTCTTTCCCTTTCCTTTCGCTCTTACAGGACTTTTCAATACAACAGAAGTACTGCATGAGATAACAAGCTCCATAATTCACCTGAGTATACAATTTTCTTTTGACTCAAACTTCTATCAGAACACAGAAAAATATCTGTACCTACCAAACATGTTACAGCGAGTACATATCAAAACTTCTTGAAGTCTCTATTGAATGATACGCATCATCTGCACATCCCAGAATTGCCAACATCGATTATGAGCAAGATGGCTGGTTCAAAAACAACTACAACTTTTTCTTCGGAATAATTTTGAGGAATTCAGGTGCTCTTATGAGCCATTCCGGCCACGAGCCGAAGTAAATGCTAGAGTTGTAGCCAGACTTTTTCAAAGCAAACCATGTCAAACTGGAACGGATCGCCGTTGCTGAATAAACAATTACTGGCTTTGTTCCGTTGAGCCCTTTGTATAGCAAAAGAGACTTCAAGTCAGATTTGTTGGGCCAGCTTTGTTCATGCCAGTTATATACATCCTCTGCAGGGATATTTATAGCTGAGCGGATATGACCGTACACAGCATCTGGCGACATGCCGTTATATTGCTGCAATAAAAGTCAGAATTTTTGCCGCTTACTGAATGTAATTTAGCTGTAATTTAAATTTCGTATCGTATATAGCGTAGTGCCGATGTTCGCAAAGGGCAGTAATCCTGACATGCAAATGGAGGATCTTACTTCACTTACGGAACAAAAAAAAAACGCATTTTCTACAGGTGGCAGTGACGAGGGTAATGAATTTAGCTGTAATTTAAATTTCAGTGGTTCTTCCAAAGACATTTTTACAATGTTTGTTTGCTCTTATTTTCATTCAAAAAAGCCGTACAAACGCTTCTATTCTCTACTTATCAATAAGACAGACCGATATAAAGTTTACAGTAGTTCAAAAAATCATTGCTAAGCTCACTCATTCTTGGGGCTCCTATTTCCGAAGTTGAATGAATTGATATAAACAAACATTCACACCGATACCATATTACTACAAGCAGCTTTAGCAAATAAATCATAAGGAGAGCGCAGTTTGGTTTTTTGAGTAACCGGTGGAAATTACCTCGCGATCCTGTGCATCCACTAGATCGTGCGTCCTTAGCTCCGTGTTCGTTAATACATCATCGAATGTGCAGATCACCTGCAACTTTCAAATCCGGAAATCTGCATTTAGGTGCAAACGCTCATAAAAACTGTTTAAAATCATTAATGATTGTTATGATATTGAAATGAAATCCAGTACAGAAATCAGCTATCTGGTTCTTTCTGCTTTGAACTACTAATGTGTATGAACTAGTTTCCACTCTGGAACGAGGAAGTGTTATTTTCTGCATTTCTCCTCGCCATCTAATTCTGATTGGCATGGAACAACAGGAGAGGAATATTGACGAAGCTAGATTTATTGTTGGAAGGAAGTGTTCTCCACAAATAATCCCTTACCAGTTTAATCATAGTGCAACTCACCATATTCCTGCTGAGGCTATATTCCATTAAACCTGTTAAACTTACCCAAATTTATGATTCTAGTATAATCAGCAATGAAAGTGATGAAAAAGAGTTTATATTGAACAGAACCCGAATCCATCATATTTTTTAAGCTTACATAAATGACCACAGTGGGCTCGTCTTGGTGACAACCGGCGGGCCTAGTGTATTAGTGGGTGTACCGACAAGAAAGTAAGCTACTACCCGGATGGTATCCAGAGAGGTAGTGCGCATATACTAAGCAGGCACTGGGTACCAACTGGAGATATGCAGAGCAGCATAGCTGTGCCTGGCGTATAGGAGCTCCCAGTAACATCACTGGTATGGATTCTCCATGAGAAGTTTTCATGCAGTTAAATCAAAAACATCTGAAAGTAAAAATGCTCACTGCTGAATTCCATTCAGCTCGAAAATGGCCATTGCGCTGCAAGTATGTATCAATACCACTTTCTGTTTTATACTGAGCCGAATTGGCCTTTAGCTTTCGCCACTCGCTTAGACCGCCAGAATACAATAACACTTTTGGATGTCCAAACAGCTAAATGTGAAGGGATTGTAACAGGCAGTCCAGAAACAGTTGAAAATATAATTAATTCCGCTTTCATGTGCATTTGCAGAGTGAACCAAGCGGTGGATATCCTCACAGTGTACCATAAGACATAAGTGGGCACTCGGCGGTCCATAGGCCGGATCCGGCCAGCAGTGGGAATCGGAATGTAGTGCCTAACTAGACAAATGGGGGGTTTGTATTCTGTCACGCCACTGCAGTCTCATAGAAATAAACCCAAGCTGGAACGCACTGGGCAGGCCCGCGCGATCATGCGTTTTTGCACCGGACTTGAAGTATTCAGGTCATTAACTGTATGAACGGTTGTTGATTTACATCTACCTTTTACGGTCACTAGCATAAATCACCATAAATTTTGCATAAAGTAAATTTACAATTTCCATTTAAAAATCGTTCTTTAAATGTGACCTAGTTGTTCAGTCAGAAATTCAGCCAAAATTTTGAGTGCTCGTATTTAAGAACCACGCATACCTCAAGGACGAATTTGAAATACTTAAGTTGTACTTGGACAGAGGACATTCCTCCAAAATTTCAGCTTTCCAGCTTCCCTGGTTCCCGAGTTAGCAATTTCCTCGCCAAAACTTTCATACGCCCATACGTGATTACCACGCATACTTGAAGGCTGAAGTTGAAATCTTTAGCTATCACATGCACAGGGAATACCTCTATAAAGTGTTAACCCCTTAGCTCGTGTGGTTCCCGAGATCGCTTTCCCACCAAAAAATTTGCATATGTTTTTG